GTACATACCAGACGCCACTAGTTCTTTTGATAAAAAACGACTCAAGGAATTGATCACATACAATTTACAAAATATCGCTAAATTTGTACGTATATAATATGTGATCAAGGTACTGATAATCGAGGAGCTTTGAGTTTTTTAGGTGTTGCTGATAACTGTAAATGTTGTATGTCTAATGATCCCAAAATTGGTAATATAATGATAATAAAATCAAGCTAAGTAGAATCTCCAGGGTAAAAATTTAGGTATGCTAAGGAATTCCTAGAAATAATTCTAGGGACGGTTGAAATGTATATGTACTTACTGCAGCGTTTACCTATTTGTCATTGATATCACTTATATCGCATACTTTTTCGCGTTTTGTAATGAAGATGTTATTTGTTTGAAGCTGCAATTTTGATAGTATTTCTTAAATAAAATAATAAATTGTTTGAAACATTTTTTGCAACTATTACAACGTTAGAAGTCTATATGTATAGTAGTCGTCTTACGATTTCACAGATACAGTCGCAATAAACCTTTGGGACAGCGGTGTTTTTTTTTTTAGTGGGAAAGTCGTCTGCTGATTCGACTCCGAGTAGCGCCGCATCCAGAGGCTTATTGTGCTAAATCTTCCTGTTAAATGCACATATTCCATTCCAAAACCCTGGTTCCTTGCAAGAGGTGAAGTAGGTCTATTGAACGTTTGCCGTATGTGTCTGGATCTAGTTCAGCTTCTCCAAATATATTTTGTCTCCTGCAAGTTAGTGCATTGCATTCTGATATGTGTTGGGCTGTTTCGGTTTTTGTTCCGCATAAAGTCTGCAGCTCGTGTCTCTGTTGTGCAAGCCCATTGTTGACAGGTGCTTTTTTATAGACCGGTGCATAACGACCATTTTTTTTAAACGATTTTCTCCCGTCTGCCATTAAGGGTGGTTATTCTTTATGCAATAAAAAGTGGAATGGCTGAAATTTCAAAGAGCCCCGCGTGTGACAATACAATGATATGCTAATTTGAAAATGTAATGAAAAGTGGAGATTTGGATCAATATCATCCCGTCTGCCACACATTGTGAAGGTAATTTAAACAAAAATGAGTAAAAGGAAGCTGAGAAGCTGAACGGCGGAAACCCTAGATTAGTATAAAGTGTCATATTACTAATTTCAAAATGTCGCAAAAATCGGACATGTGGATCAACGACCTCCCATCTGCCAAATTAAATTTATGTTACATTTACGATGTAATACATCAATAAGTAAATGGCAGAAAATCTCGGTTGGTATAATAATATTTAACAATTTTTGAAGTTTTATCAAAATGCTGAGATGTTGAAACAATTTTCTCCCGCCTAAAACATGTTTTGTTACAATGGATTTTAGATAAATAATGTACCTTTGCACCGGCAGAAAAATTGAAGTGGTACATATATTTATTTTTAATTTTTCAAAATGTCAGAATTTTTGAAATTTGAGATCAATTATTTCCCGTCTGCCATTAATTTATATTAAATAAGTTGCTACCAAAAGCTTAAGTTTTGACTGGCAGAAATTGCAGACTGGTACAAGTCCTAATAGTCCAAGAGCCGGCAATACTAACGGGTATGTGATCGTTGCAATGGATAATTTCTACATAAAACAATACTTGATAGTAACCTTTAAACCAAATGGATGGGTTGCCTCGATTCTCATGGCCGTAAAGTTGTTTTATAAAAAGATACTTCAAGAACCATACGCGCAACAAATAAGAAGTACCTTGCGGTGTAGTTCTCATCTTATGCGGCAAAAACTTTATTAATATAATTTCATGTTTCTTGTCTAAAGACCTACAGCTGTATGCAAAATCCCCTTCACAGAGTCCTCTTTTAACTTTAAAAGTGACTTTGAAAGCTGTCACTTTCAAAAATTTGTATTTAGCAAGCAAAATAACGCGCGCGCTCGACTTTCAATGAGGGTTGCCATCATTTCCGGCCATCAAAATCGAGGTAGCCCTATATATTATTTGAGAAGACATATTAAAGAATATATCTACCAATTTTCAGCTATTGCAGCGATAACATTGTTCGAAAAAATAGGGATAGTTTAGGCCCAGCAATCAAAGGGTTGCGGCCATGAGAATCAAGGCAACCCCTCCATTTAGTTTAAAGGTAACTATGAGCTATTCTTTTATGTGAAAATTTTCCATTTCCATACAAAGTGTGCGGTAAAGTAGAATTTGATATTTATAATCAAAAATCCTCTCTTTTTCAGAAAATGGATTGTCGATCATTTCTAAATCTTATCTAATTTCATTAAATAATTTGATTCAATAATTAATTTTATCAATGCATTTTTTTGGAGATGTAGATGTTCATAGGTAAAATTTTGTACCTAACACATGCGGAAAGTGCCTTTATCGCCCTTAACGGCTTGACCGAACTCTGCTTCGCGTCGTTCGGTCAACTGCGTGCGGTAAAGTATCACTTTCTGCATTTGTTAGGTAAATAACTATTACAAGTCAGTAGGGTCAGTAGAATTATTTATTAAAATTGTATTACCTATGTATTATTTTTTTATTTATTGTTTACAAATGAGTAACAAATAAATTATTGTACGCCATAACTAATGTCACCTTTTCCATTATCATCGTCATTATTGATGTCATCCAAATCTGATAGATCGCCAAAATCTTCGTTTTCATTAATTTCTTCTTCACTTTCATCCTCTTGAAGGTGACAAGCTCGCCTGACGGCTCGCTAGTCATTTCCTTCAATCACCAGTAAAAACTGTTTTACCTGGCTAATAATGTAAAATACCATTTTCCAATGCCTATCACACATATAGGTTTTCCTGATGAGGATGAAAGTGAAGAAGAAATTAATGAAAACGAAGATTTTGGCGATCTATCAGATTTGGATGACGGCAATAATGACGATGATAATGGAAAAGGTGACATCAGTTATGATGGAAGTGACTTCGAAGTGATAGATAACAATAAATACAATACAATTTATTGTTCTGCCTTATCATATTTAGGTGTCTTGAGAGCAACTTTAATTTTAATTAACCGATTGTCAGACGGGAGAAAATTGTTCGGACACACAAATATTTTTCGCAATTTAACAATAATTGTGCAACGTATGTAGCTGATTGCGGTTTCTGCCATATTGAAGATATGCATATTCTCATAAATACATTTCATTGAAACATACGGCAGACGGGTTAAAAACGTTAATGATATGAACAATTTTTGTTCCAATTTTGTTATTCAATAATTATAAGAACTTGTATCAGCCTGCAATTTCTGCCAGTCGAAATTTAAGCTTTTAGTAGTAGCTAATTTAATATAAATTATTGGCAGACGGGAAAAAATTGATCTCAACTTTGAAAAATTTTGACATTTTTATTGTTTCTGCCAATTGCTAATATACCTTGGATACATCTGCCAATACATTTCTTGGATTTTACTTTGCATGTCAAACTTATCTTCCAAATGGCAGATGGGAGAAAATTGTTTCAGCATCTCAGCATTTTGATACAACTTCAAAAGGTGTTAAATATTATTATAACAACTGAGATTTTCTGCCATTTCTTTATTGATCTCTTAGTCGTAAATCCAACATAAATTTAATTTGGCAGATAGGAGGTCGTTGATCCACATGTCGGATTTTTGCGACATTTTGAAATTAGTAATATGACATTTTATACTAACCTAGGGTTTCCGCCGTTTAGCTTCCTTCTACTTATTTTTGTTTAAATTACCTTCATAATGTGTGGCAGACGGGATAATATTAATCCAAATCTCCACTTTTCATTACATTTTCAAATTAGCATATCATTGTATTGTCACACGCGGGGCTCTTTGAAATTTCAGCCATTCCACTTCTTATTGCATAAAGAATAACCACCCTTAATGGCAGACGGGAGAAAATCGTTTTGAAAAAATGGTCGTTATGCACCGGTCTTACTAGGGCATGTCCAGTAAGAAAGCCGGTTGCAGTAGCAACCGGCAGTAAGCTGGCAGTAAGCAGGAATCAAGTTGTAGCAGTCTTTCTGTTCTTTTTCTGCATTTCTCGCACGCATGAAGATTTTTCCGTGTGCATGCTTGGATATTTGCTTCCAGTATTGAGCATGTTTTGCTTTGATCCCTTTTTACTGTGATTTTGGGTACTCCGTGAGCTAATTCGGGACCAAGGTCTTCTGTGGATGACCCCCTGCATGCAAGTTCATCAGCCTTTTCGTTGCCCGGGATACCTCTATGTCCTGGCACCCACATCAATCAATGTGACGTTATTTTGGTGTGCCAAGTTGTTGAGTTCTTCTTCGCATTCTATCACCAGTGCAGAGTTGGTCTTAGGGTTCTTTAAGGCCCCCAGTGCTGCCTGACTGTCTGTGAGTAAAGTGAGTCTCCTGTCTTTGCAGGCCCTTATATTGTTGATTCTTGCGAATTGTAGTTTTGCATATACCTCTGCCTGGAAAATAGATGTAGGTATGTGAGTACTTAGGAAGTGCATAGTCAGTTATTATGTCGAATAATGTCAGAGTTATGACTTCCCTTATTTGTGTGTGACCCGATCTGACTGTTAGTTTGCTCAGGTTGTTTCGTTGGCTATAGGAACATGACGTATTCAATTACCATAAGTTTACATTAGCCTTAGTTGTTTTAATTTAATTTATACTTGTGTCAAACTCTTCCACCAAAATCTAGTAGAACTATAGTTCTTGCAAACTTTGTCATCAAAATCTAGTAGAATTATGATCAGTCAAACAATTGAGACAGGCCTCTCATGTTTATATACAGTTTAATATTTTTCAAAATAGCCAATCGGAGATTAAGTGCAAAAAAAAAAACAAAGTACTTGAAACTTATCTGCCAAACCAATACATTACATTTTCAAGTACCCACGTGTTGCATGACTGATTATTATTAATTCACATTTATTGAAATAATTCAAAAAATTTAAATGTTTGCAATTATATGTACCTATAGACATGTTTTAACATACCTATATAGGTAGAAAGGATGAAATAGCTGGGTGAAAGACTTTGATTTCTCAATTTACCTTTATGATAACTTTTGTCTCAATAACTGTCGTAGTGGGCCCGGCAAGAGGGAATCGAAATAGGATGAAAATTGTAATGATAAAATATTTTTTCTCATAATTACCTTCCTAAAAAAAATATCCTACAAATGCCATCTTTATAAATAAATTTTAATCTTAAGTGTGCGTATGCGTAATTTTTTATACAAATATTGGATAAAACATCTAAGGGACTTATATAAAAGTGAGCTAATCCAAATCTAATATTTCATACAAAAAAAAATATGAAGTTTTTTTATCTTATACCTCTTATTTTGACGGTAGCGCTTGGCTACAATTTGGTTGAATATGGAGAAGTTATGCAAAAACAGATATTAAAAGAAGAAATTGTGAAGCTGTTCAAGGATGTTATTCAGAAACTTGCTCTTGTTCAAAGTGAAATCGGACTGTAAGTACCTATATTCAATGTCGTATGTGTGTGACTGTTGGAATGAAATCTTGTTTGATGTTGTTATAGTTTTCTTTATTGATTTTTGAGTTGATTTCGCAGACATCTTATTTACTGCTTATTAACTTCCCACTTTATTTTGAAATAACTTTCTCGCAAAAAAAAGCAATAATCTCGATGATTTGGATCAAAACTCAGATTTAAAGTATAACATCCACTTATAAATAATTTTGTGAAATGTGAAAATTTTGAAACCAAGTTGACCAGTATATGTTGAAATTTTATTCTGATTAAATATCGATTTGTTACTTTTCAGTTCCAATGATTTAGCTGCCAATTTGAATGACTACTTGGATCAATTACTGCCTGGAATTAATCAAGCTATTTCGAAAGCTGGATATGATCCAAAATCGCTTCCGGATCAGTCTGTTTCAGTAAGTGATAAAGATCCATTGCAATAAAAAGGTTTCATTATACTTCGTGCGAGCAAAGAAGTAGGTTTTTCACTTCCTAAAAAAAAAAGTTTCAGCAAATGTAGCTGACAAAAAAAAAAAAAAAACGTTTAAGTTTTGATATTTTCAGATTGTTATTGGAAAATCAACGCTGAAAGAAGGCACACTTTCAAAATTAGCTACCATAGAAAGATACCAAAATGTAACCGTTTCATATGATAGTGACGCTAGAAAGGTAGCAATGGATTTTATTTTAAGATGGGAAGATTTGCAGGTAATTTTTGCAGCACTACTTTGAATATTCTCATAACCTTCACCAAAATGCATTTTAGATCATTTACAAGTACCACACCAAGGTGGCATTTGTTAGTATCACTGGACATGTTACCGCAGATGTAGAACACATGAAAATTCATCTCAAATTAGGGTTTGACTACAACACCAATCACATCACCGTCGATTCGCTGGATTTCAAACACACTGGGTATGAGTTAACGTATATTCTTTAGAAATTTACAGAGAGGACCAAGCTACTAGACACATAGGCTTCAATAGGACCAGTTGACTGATACCCGATACCCTGATGATTAATCTATCACTGCAAGCTGCATTTTATGAAAATTCGTGCATCTTCGGCAGCTCGGGTATATTCGGCTTCAGGAACACCGCCTCGATTCGCTACGGGGTACAAGCTTATTCGTCCTATTATTGCCCATGTGTCTAGTAGGTTGGTCCAGTCTGTATATCCTAACATTTAATTTCAATTAAATCGAACTTTATGATTCGGATCGAAGTCATTGCTCTATCGGTTAAATGAGCTAGCCATATAAGTACTCAGTGAAGCAAAAACCTAACAATTTTTTTTACCTAATAGTAATTTTTTATTAATTAAACTCATATTATATTATTATGTCTTACCATTTTTCTTTTTTTTTTTTTCAGAGATATTTCCCTTAAATTTTCTGGGCACAAAATAGTCGACTACATAACCAATGCTATGACAACAGTATTTACCACTCTGTTCCACAGCCTGGTACTTTCAGAAGTCAAGAAAATCACAATGGATCCGGTGCAAGACTTAGTGAACACCTTCAATAATATGATTGATCAAGTATTACATAAATGAAAGCGATAAAATTAGTATTTTTGTCTGAGCTTAGAAATACAAAAGATTGTTTTAAAAGTAAATTATTTTGATTTTGCAGTTTCCAGACCGTCAATAATCAGTGCTTGAAGAGTTCCGAAGAAAAAAAATCCATGGTATAATATGGAAACAGACCAGGTTGACTTTTGTTCCTAAAGTTGTATTACATGTTGACACGGCGATCTATGCAAATATGGTATACCTAAATCAAACAGTGCTAGAAAATGTAAATCTCCAATTGAATAATTGAAACAGAGTCATGCAGATTCTGTAATATTTTGTCTAGATGCAACGACTTCTTATTTTAAGTACTCGTTTCATTCAACAAGAAAACTCCAGTTCGATATATCAACTAACTGGAAATGATAATAAATACAAATGAGAAATAAGACTGAATTTATCCCTCGATGGCATCACTAACGAATTTGATACATTAGAAATAAGAGGAAATGATAATGTAAATTTTTCAACTCAATTTGAACCACAGTTTTTACATTTTAGGATTCTCTGGTGACGTGTGAATGATTTGTGCATCTTCTGGAGAATTTACTTGAGGTTGTCTTGGTGAAATAGGATTTTCAAGTGACGTAGGAGTATTTTGTGCACTTTCTAGAAGATTTTCTTGAGCTTGTCTCGTTGGCATTATGATTTGGGACAGAATTTCAAATTTGGAGGTGGTTTTTGTGGTATCACTATGTCACGAGGTGAATCACGAAATGAGTCTGCTGTAATAGTAGATTCTGAAAGTGATTTGTTTTCGTGTTCATTATCTATTCTTATTTCTTTGCCTTTACTGATGGGTAATTTCGGTTTTTGAGGCATAAAAAGATTAGTACCTTCGAAATATTTTCGTAATATTTCGTCGTTATCTAAAGGTATATCTTTTAAAATTGCTCCTAGGGTTTCCTGGAATTTTTCGTCAGAGTCTGATTCAGTATGTGAACTTGACGTATGAGAGAGAGCTTTGACCTGTAAAGGGAGTCTGGCTAATTCATCTACATTCATAGTTACTTTGGCAAAGTCTTCCATGAATTTACGATAATATCCAAACAATCCTATGACTGATTCTGACTCTTTAGTGGTTTTGGGAATTTTTTGATAGCGTCAATTTTTTTCGGGTTTGGTTTAATTCCTTCGGGGTTTATTACTTGAGCTAAAAATTCGACTGTTTTCTTCAGAAATTTTGACATGTCTAGTTGAATTTTCAGATTGAAGTCCTCTAGAAAGAGATATTCTTTTTAGATTTTTTATGTGTTCTTGACGAGAAGTACAGTAAGCAATGATGTCATCCATATTGACTAAACATATTTTCTTTTGTAGTCCGGATAAAACATTGTTCATCATTCTTTGAAAAGTGACTGGGGTGTTTTTCAAGCCAAAGGGCATGCGTGTATATTCATAATGCCCGTTTTCTACGTTAAAAGCAGTTTTAGGAACTGAACTTGGGTACATTTCCACTTGGTGGAATCCAAGATCTAAAGTTGTAAAATAATTGCTTTTGCCACGCTTATCCAGAATGTCAGATATATTTGGCAATGGATATTTGTCATCAATGGTTTTTCATTTGGTTTGCCATAGTCAATGACCATTCGCTATTTTTGTTTGCCTGAAGCTTCTAATTCCTTGGGGACTATCAACACAGGGGATGACCAAGGGCTTGCGGACGGTCTAATAATATTTCCGTTTATCATTTTTTTAATTTGTTCATTGACCTCCTGTTTATGAACGTGGGGATAACGATAAGTTTTTACGTGAACAGGAATCTCGTCTGTTATTTTTATTTCGTGTTTTATCTGATTGATAAATGACAGTTTTTCGTCTGGTTTATGAAATATCGTGGGAAAGGACATAACCAATTGTTGTAAAGCATTGAGTTCTTCTTTATTTAAACGATCAGTTCGTAGAGGATTTAAGGGAATATTTACGTAATGATTGGAATATTGAGGTAATATTTGTTCCATATTAAAGATTTCAAAATGATCTTTTTCGTAAATATCACAATTGTCTTCAAGTTGATCGATATGATAATTCAAGGTAAGGGATTCGTTTGTACGGTTATGTACTTCTAATGAAAGCGTGCAATTTTTGACTTTAACAGTTGTTGGTAAGATAACGTGAGTTTCGGAATTTATGAATGGAGTTAGAATTTCTGTTCCTTCTGTTACAGTACCTAGTATTAAAATAACAGATTTGCATTGTTCTGGCGGGGGTTTCTAAAAGTTAATTATCGAAATCGGTTCTGAATTGGAATGGAATTGTGACTTCATTATTTAAAAGACACATGTTGGAAAAATCGCTATTTAGATGATTTTCTTGCAAGGTTCTTGTGAGGTTTCGATGATTCAATCAAAATAATCGTGGAAGTTGGGTGTTTCACCTAAGGAGGTAACCGGATATATCTCAGGACTAGAAGTCCTAGAGCTTCCAAGTAAATTTTTTTCCATAAAAATGGCCATGAAAAATTGATGGAAATAGTTGTCAAGCTTGTAAGTTGACCGCTAGGGGGGCGCAACGAACACTCGAAAACATAATACTGTGATTATCTTCAAAAAACGCCCAATAAAGGTATTCTAAAAATATGAATATTGAAATCTTGATGAGATTACGAAAAAATGTTATTGTGTGAACACCCGGTATATATAATTGAGTTGAAATTTTTCTCAGGAGTAATCCATAGTTTGAAATCCAAAAAACTCATATAAAATAAATCTTTACTGAAGCTAAATTTTTTTCTGGATCAGGATTGTATTTAACGAGTTGGCGGACGTCTTTCAAATGCTCACGTGCCTTATCATCAGAAATACCCTATTATACTCCCATCAAAGTGCTTTGTCGTGAGACTACTACTCTAAAGAGAATATATCAACTTTGGTAATTTTGGCCCGCAAAACACTCTTTCAAATATGCGTTTAAAATATTGGCCTCTAGATGGCTTACGAGAAATTAAAAGAATAATATATAACTGCATCACCTGTTCTCGATGTAAAGCAAAGTAAGTTGCTTCTCAAATCATGGGTGAGTTGCCTAAGGAACGCCTCCAGATTTCCAGAGCATTTACAAATGTAGGTGTTAATTATGGCGGCCTATTTTTACTCAAAGCTTCAAAGTTACGTAAAGCTCCTTTAAGCAAGTGCTACATTGCAATATTTTTTTGTCTGGTAACGCGAGCTGTGTATATCGAACTTGTTTCATCTCTCACAGTGTCCTTTTTACTGACATTAAAGCGCTGATTGCTCGAAGGGGTAAACCGGCCTTAATATATTCGGGATACGAATTTTTTGGGGGCAAAAAACAATTAAAAGAATTTTTTGAGTATTTTAAAAAACAAGATACATCTGAAGCTGTGCAAACCTATCTCTCTACCTTGGAAATTCAGTGGAAATTCATACCGGCTCGCTCTCCACATCATGGTAGAATATGGAAAGCTGCCATAAAAAGTGCCAAGTACCACCTAATTAGAATTGTAGGAAATTTTCATCTTTCGTTTGAGGAATTCTCGACTGTGTTAACCCAAGTTGAGGCAATTCTAAACTCACGACCACTTTGCGCATTGTCAAGTGACCCAACTGATTTCTCTTATCTCACCCCTGGACAGTTTCTCATAGGTTCAGCTCTCACCTCCTACCCCGAAAAAGATGTAACAGAATATCTCGAAAATCATCTGTCTTTATGGCAGAAATGTACAAAAATTCAGCAATGTCTCTGGAAGGCTTGGTCAGTAAGTTATTTGAACCTTCTTCAAAATAGAGCCATCAAGTGACAAACTGTGTTTTGATCAAGGATGACAGTACTTCACCCCTCAAGTGGCCTTTAAGAAGAGTGGTTGAGATTTTTTCTGGTAAGGATGGAAGGGTTAGAGTTGTCAAGGTTCAGACTCAGTATGGAGTTTATAGACGGTCGATTGTAAAGATTTGTCCACTTCCTATCAATGACCAATATTAAACAAAGCATGCACTATTTTTACAGCTTTAAATAATTCTTAGTTTTAGTAGTTTAATATAGATATATTTTTCTTAGTGTTGAACAGTTGCTGAATATTTTATTTTTTGAAACTGACGTTTCAACGCGGGGTATCTATGTTGGAGTTAAAAACGCAACATCGGCAACGTCGCACGTCGTTGTTGTAAAAACCCAATGACAAAGAAAGAACAAGTGAGTCTGTCTCTGGAAAACGTCAATACACAAGTGTTTGCTCGTTTTGGTTTTGGCAAAAGAGGTTAGAATTTAACTCCCTTTGATTTATCAATCTCGATTAGCAATTAAGTTAGTTTCTCGATTAGTTAGCAATTGCGATTGCAGATTTTGTGCCCCGGAGTATTAGAAGAAAATATAAAGTGTTTTATTTATAAAAAAATCCTTTAAGCCATTCTTTATCAACAATAGGGTTTCTAGGTACCGGCAACCTGTGGAGAAAGTGAGCATTTTCATTCGCAAAAGGACCTCGCACACCTTACATAGGATTTCGGAGATCGGTCGATTTTTTTCAATTTTTGAATTGTTGTAGAGGATTTAATTCTTAACAACCTTTAAATGGGACGAAATATTATACGTATTACGGCCTTTGAGATATGAGCGTTGAAAGATGAACTTCTTTGCGACTTTTTGTGTGGAAATTTCTGTTGAATGTTTCTCATTCTCAAGAATTTTTGGTAGATTTGTTGTTTGGTTTCTGATTTTCAAATATTTCGGTTGGATGTTTTCTTATACGGGGTCCCAACTATTTCATAGGGATAGCATTGCTATCTCGGGAACTATTAAAGTTACGATGGCGTTTAAATTAGAAAAAAGTTGCCATTTTTAAAGAATATTAAAAAAATAATACTTTGGAGTTTAAAATATGTCTCTAAAATCAATAGATTTTAAAATATTTGATAACATTGTTTTTGATAATTTCCAAAAATCACCCTGTATTGGCGAAACTAATAGAAATTTGGCAACAACGAAAATATATTTTTATTATTCTTCAAAAATGGCAACTTTTTTCTAATTCAAACGCCCTCGTAACTTTAACGGTTCCCGAGATAGCAATACTGTCCC